ATTTATTAATTTAATTAAATTACGGTTTATATAACCCCATTACATTTTATTTTGCCGTCTACAAATCTCATTCAAATTAAAAAAAAAAGAAAAACTAAAAGCAACAACAAACTTTTGTCCTGAAAAGCTGAAACTCTCTCAAATTTTTTTATTTTTCCACCAAAACTCTACCCTTCCACTACCTCCTGCGTTAAGTACTTCATGCTTTCCCACCTTGCAAGGTTAATGTGTCTATTACCGATTGCCTGGCGTCGCTTGTTATTCTACAGCATAGATCGTTAAAATACTTTTACCGCATTTGGTATTTTCTCCAACTTACTCCGGCTTGCAACTCGTTATTGCGACTGCAGCGCTTGTCTGCAGTTCAAAGAGTTAATAGGCGCTTACATTTTTTTCGGGCTTACAAATGTGTTCTTTTGTTGGGCATTAGATTGGACATTCTTCATTACCGTAAATGGCATGCCTCTAATTGATTTTATGTTGCTTGCAWTTTTTTGTTGTTTCTTTCTTTATTTTACAGTCGCTTGAAAGGTAAAAGTTCGCGAGAAGAAGAATTCATTTGAGAAATTATTTATTGTGCTTGCATTGGAATGTCTCAATTTTGAGAGAAGATTCATCGAATGTAGTAAATGCCTAATGATTTTTRTTTCTCAAATCTTTAGTTTTGAAATTTCGCAATCCCGAAGTTACGGGATTATTACTTAAATAAAAAATACAAAGAATTGTTTCTTTATAAACGAGAACAAGCATGATTATTTAGTAGCGAAATACTTATTATCCTGAAAATATTAATCCCGAAATTTCGGTATTTACTTAAATGTTTTCTTATGTTTAGCAGAGAATATGCTCTAAGCAATTTTTTGCAGATTTGATATGTCGCAATTTCGAAATTTCGGTATTACCACTTAAAAAAAAAAAATTTAGATAACTGTGTCTCTATAAATGCGAATTAAAATGGTGTTACAACGAAATATTTCTAGATTCTGAAATTTCGGGACTACTACTTAAAAAGAAAATACAAAGATAACTGTATCTTTCTAAATGAGAATAAAAATAAAAATATACCGAAATATTTCGGGACCCCGAAAATATTAATCCCGAAATATCGGTCTTTAATTAAATGTATTTTTTTTTGTTCAGCAGTAAATATGTTCTTACTATTTTGCAGAATTTTTTTTTTCATATGCTTGTTTGCAAAATATAATTTTTTCAGCCTTCTTTATTGTGTATTTTTGTGTCTGTAAGTACATTCCCTACTTTTGCTAATTGTTTGTTAAGTTTATATATCTATGTGCATTTATATTTTTTCTATTTTTAGTTTGGCCGCGTGTTAACCTTCATGCCTTCAAAGATGCTGCTGGTGTCCAAAACTTTTAGTTTGGGGTAAATTCATATACATATGTATGTATGTATGTATGTAGTACCAACTGTGTTCAAACTCAAATTGATGACCTCGAAAGCGGCCGCTCCCGCCTAATGAGGCGTAATTTAACCACTGCCTCCGCTTGGAGAGCGAAGAGTATAACMCAATATGAGTACAAGTAATAGGCAAAAATGGCCGATGATTCGCTACTAAGTCCACGTGGAAGCGGGTAAGTAATCAAACTCTACGTTTCACACAAGTGTCTGAAATGAATTTTGGATTTAAAGGTGCGCAGTGTATACACATACATATATATTTGTACTGTATCTATGTATATACTGGGACAAAAAAATAATTATAATAATTTTGCATAGAAAAGGTCTGCAGGCTGGCGCTTGGTTAATTATGCGCTKACTCATTATTTTTTATTTTTGCCTTTCGTCTTAGTTAGAAAATTATGAAACAAAAAACAAAAAAAAAAAGGCATCTTTAGGCTTATTTGCTTTAAATTTATTTATGTTTCATATTTTATATTTTTATATTTTTTGTTTGCTGAAAAGTTTGACCTTGACTATGGTACAAGTCACCAGCACGCATATATACATATATGTACATATGTATGTATTCCTGTGAAAAAATTTATATAATATGCCGCCATCTCATACCCGCGTTTGTGCTGGCAAGTAATTAATTTCCATACCACCGTGGCACTTGTAGCAAGAAGTTATGCTGATGTTTCTAATTTTCACGCATGAGCTCACCAAGCATGGCTTAAGCTAAATTTTGTTTGGCTCATTTACCGATTTTTTTTTAATATCTTTGGTTACAGGAAGGATCCAATTTTGTTTTATTAGTATTTCTTTAATTATTATTATTTTTTAATTATTTTTTGTTTTCGCACCGACTGTTACGTCAATCATATTTTTGCCGTCATTTCTTATAAATTGATTTAAATTAACTAATAATGATGCATAGCAAAGTTTAGTATATTTTACAATTAAGGCGAAACTTCTCTAGGCAGGAAAGTAAAGTTTAGATTTTGATTTATGTCAGAAGTATCGTCACACTGGCAAAATTCAAGACGCTATTAGAGTGAATGTTAAACGGACTTCAATTTTCATCGGTTGCTTGGTCTAATGCTCGATTTGTTAAAAAAACAGATGGCATGTTTGAAAGTCTTAAGTAAAAAACTAAAAATTCTTCTTCACAGAACACACAAGTTATTCACAAAATTTTTTCATTATTTAATTTTTTACATTTAAATTTTTGTAAAAAAATTTTAATTATTTTTTTTTTCGAAATTATTTTCCGGCATTATTAATCATTTTTGCACCCTTCTTTAATTTTTTGCGCTTTGTTGCCACTTGTCTTCCCTCCACGTAGTTGTGGTTGTAGTTTTGAATATTCGCTAAGTTACTACTACGGCCCGCAATAATTATAATTGTCGCTCGGCCTGTCATCATTAGCGGCACATTAATTAAATGAGCCGCGTAAATTTGCGCACTTTAGCSAACGCTGAAGCTGCCAGCCTAGGGCAACATTCATATTCTCATGTAGATATATGTATATACATATATGTACATAAAAGTTATTTTTTCATATATTTAGTCATATATGTTGCACGCTGCATGCGTCTACGTGTTACAACAGCAGCGTTAATTGCGCGTGTCAATATCGTAGCGCCACATAAACTGGTGTAATGAAGAGGTCTAATTACTTTTTGAGTTATTTGTTGTAATATTTCTACATTTGTGTGAAGGTTGGGGAGATTTTAAACGTTAAGGTCATTAGAATTTTTTTTTTGTTGCAAATTTGTTGTATTGTATAGTATTTGACTGTGTGTCATCTTTCTACGTCCTCTTTCTATGGAATAATTTGGCATCGATTATTATCCAA